CCAATTCAATCCCTGGTACAAAAAACCCCCCCAAAAACAGTGAATGTTGCTGCCGAGTTCCATCCCACGGAATGGCAGGCTCATAAAAACATTGTGGCATGTCCTTGTCCGCTTTATTCACTGGATCTGGCACGGAGTGACTTCTGGCTCTTTCTTAAAGTCAAAATGACCATGAAAGATGAAGGCTTTGAGTCAATTCAGACATTGAGGCACCCATGTCAACTGGGGTAGACCCCTAAGAAGTTTCATATATGAGCTGTAAGACTGAAAGACGTTTCCTCAGACTGGCTTCTGGCCCTGTACATTTCAAAGTGTGTTTCTTTGCCACTTCCCACGTGCTTCCTGTGTCCATAGCACACTGGTGACATTGCCCCAGGTGAGTCAACACCATAGGAGGTGAGCGTTTCCCTGGAAACCATTCCTTCCCCAGTAACTGTACCACACACAAAGGTGGCCAAGAGGCACATTTGTGAGATACTATGTACATACATGGCATCTCACAGAAATATATTCTACCCGCCCACACTAAACGCACCGCCAGTTCCAGTTTCAGTAAACTGAATCCCAACAAGGCCTACAGTTATTCTAGTACCACCTGGTAGGAGGGAAAATGTGACACAGGGAAAGTCAGGGTGAAAAGAAACAGCAGCCTGCAATGATTGTAGTTGGGATAACGTACTTTTGCAAATCTTACAAAAACATAAGACCATGTGCAAGCATGGCCAGCCCCCCTACACACCCTCCCAGCCCCGTACCCCCGAGGCCTTGGACGGAGCAAGTGAGGGCCCAGCACAGCTCTGCAAAAGGCACAGTCCTTGGAGATTAAAGAGACCAAGAGTAGGATAATTACTAAGGCAGGGGACCTCAGAGTTGCAGCCTCTGGCACAATTATCCCAACAAGTTAAATTAGCCCCAGATAAACCTGTACCTAATAAACCTGGGCTGCTTGTGCCCAGAGCTCTTGCTAGGAAGGAGGACTTCAAAGCCCAAGGCCAGGCCATCAGAGGTGTTTCTGTCCCCCTCTGGGTCCCCGGCCAGTGTGTAGGCTGTAGGCCAAGGCAGGGCCAGCATGGTCCCTCTCATGGCCCAGTGTCTGCTCACATGGGTTCCATGACACAGATGCTCCTTCGCCCACCCCAGCACCTTCATGCCTAGTGCCTCACCTGATAGAGCAAGACAAGAACCAGGGTTCAACAGGCCTGAGCAGGACAAGACCCCCTCTGTGGTGAGGGCTGGGACAGGTGAGGAAATGCTCAGGCTGGGAACCATAGTGAGAACCTGCCTTTCTGCTTTCCATTATCACTCAGGCTGGGGCCAGGGTTCTGCAGTCTTGGGGTGCTGGCTCCAGTCCCCTCTCATTCCATGCAGCACAGCTCTTTTACTATGGTTTAGATGTGGTTTGTCTCCCCAAGATTCTCACACTAGAGCCTCAGTTTCCAATATAAAGCAATTAAAAAATGTAGGACCTTTAAGAGGCAGGCCTTAGTGAGAGGGAATTAGGTGGTGAGACCCATCCTCAGAAGGGATTAATGCCCACCTCCAGGGAAGGGGTGAGGTCTCACAGGGCCAGATTAATTATGTGTGTGGCCTCTTCCATGTGCACCACTCACTGCCCTGGCACATGTTCCTGCTGCATGATGCCATCATTCTGCTGTGGCAGCCAAAGGCCCTCCCCAGAGGCCAAACAGATTAGGCTCCCTGATCTTGGATTTTCAGCCTCCAACAGTATGAGCTAATAAACCTCTTGTCTTTACAACTTACTCTGCCTCAGGTATTCTGTGATAGCAGCAGAAAACAGACTAAGACATATTCCACCCAAGAAGTGGAAAGGCCTGGATTAGACAGAGGGGAAATATGTTGAATTAGCTTCCAAGAACTCTGTGGTTCAAAGCAATTATAGACTGAGCCTGGATTGTACCAACCTCACATGAGGCTGACTGGAACATAGGGGTGAGTTCACCCTGACCCCAGCTACCACCCCACAATGAAGGGGAAACAATGCTGGGTGGGGTGGGGAACCTGTGAGGGCTCTGAGCCCCCAGAGCCTGAAGGGTTGGCCCAAGTCCTGGGCCTCCTCCCAGGCCCTGGCTCCCAAAGATCTGCCCCTCGGCCTAGCTTCTCTGTCCCAGGGCAGCACAAACCCCACATTTGCAAGGACCTTGACCAATTGGGCTCCAGATGGGAGCCAAAGCCCTGGGCTCAGGGAGTGGGGAAAGCAAGGGAGACAATGGCCATGAGTGCCCTGGGCTGAGTGGGCAAGGGGCACATCCTCCAAGTAACCAGAGGCATGAGCAGGCAGACCCGCCCGAGCTGGCTGGGACCCAGCCAGTGCTCTGAGACACTTCCACTCAGGAAAACCTGTTCTCTATCGCGAGCCAGAGGGAGACGGAAAACAGGAAACACATGTTCTTCAGGGGTAGCTGAGCACCCAGCCCCGAGAAGCCCTGGTGAGACCTGATCCCAGCATGGGCATTTCCAGCCCACCTGAGGACTGCGCTGACCAGACTTGATGGAGGCATGGGCACGTGCAGTTTGTACAAAGATCCGAGCCATCCTAAGTGGGACATCTGCGTCCTTACAAACTCCCATGCAACCTTGAGCAAGGAGCTCCACCTCTCTGGGCCTCTGGTTCTTCCTCTGTGAAGTGGAGGTGACTGTCCCTGCATCCTCTCTGCCTTACTTTCGTCATCAGCTTTGGAACCATAAGGTACCATACACGTGGAAACACTATTGAGAATCCCAAAGATACACTTCGTTCCCCATCCCTCAAGCCTCAGCCAGCAGGAAGCCTGCTCCAATTGGCTCAAAGGGAAGGAGCACCTCATCCACGACTGCCCCTCTGCTATTCCCTGCTAACTCCTCTGTGTGGGGACTGGGGCCTGACCCATACTCCGCATGGGCAGAAGTCACTGAATGTCTGGTCATCTTATCCCTCTGAGGTCCCTTGTATTTCCCCAGCTGCCCACAGGTGTGTACGAAGGGCTGGCTGACCTGGGCCCTATCATTTTACCAGGTGCCCTCAAGCCCACCCACATCTCTCCCCCTAGACCAAGCCCTGACTGGTGGGCCACAGAACTTGACCAGCACTGGAACTGTGACCCCTTCTGGCTGCCTTTGGCCTGGACAGGTGGAGCACCAGGAAGCCTTTGGTGTCCTGCCTTTACCTGCCCTGCTCCCTGGGCACAGACTGCAGGGCTGGCTAGGCTGGCTCAGCAGTCTCTAAGGCCAGTGCCTGGCTCTGGTCTGAGGGGCTCAGAGCAGCAGAAGGCCTTTGGAAGCACCCAGACCTGCCTGAGGTCCTGAGACTGTGGGGTGTGCCCCATTTCTTTAGGGGTGCAATTACTAGGGATTGAACCTTGGGCCTTCACACTAAGCTATATCTGTAGCCCTTTTTTATTTTTTATTTTGAAACAAGATCTTTCAAAGTCATTAAATTGGCTATGCTGGGCTTGACTTGCAGTCCTCCTGCCTCAGCCTCCCAGAGTGCTGAGATTCTAGGTATGCACTAACGTGCCTGGCTTGCACCATCTCTCTGAGTGTGTCTGCCTGCATCATCAGTGAGAAGGAATCCAAAAAGCTGTCCCGTTAGGAGTGATCCCATTTATTTCTGCAGTGCCCATATGAGAGCCCTCTCAGAGCCTGGCCTGGGAATGGCGACCAGTAAAAGAAGAGGTGGGAAAAGGAGGCCGGGCTGTTGGCTCTGCTCTCCCAGCAGAGGGCAGCTCCCCTTCCTACTGGACTATTCTTGCATCTTGGTGGAGCCATGAGCCTAGTCCTTAGCAGCAGAGCATGAATCAGCAGTAGACACTGCATCCCAGGCAAGGTGGCTAGAAGAGGCTGTGTCTCCTCCACCACCCTCTCCCTCTGCTACATGCCCAGGACCTGGGGGCCAGAAGTGAGGGCTGAGGCTCTTGGTGCAGGGAACTTGGATCCCCGAATCACCATGTGGACACTCTCCTGCTGGCCAGGGGCACCCAGATTGGGCCGCTCCAGGAGGGTCAGCCAGGGAGATGTGGGGATTTGTTTGTTTCATCAACATGCATTATCCTTGTCCAACCTCACGCTCTGCTGACCCAGCTCTGATGTAGGTCTCGGAATGTGGCCGGGCCACTCCCTCAGCTGCCATCATCAATCCCAGCCACACTCCCCTCCCCAGCCTTGCCTATGCTCCCCATCCCACGTACCATCCTAATGGGACAGCTTTCTGGATTCCAGCTGTTAGCATCACGTCCTGGTCACTATGGTCCCCTCCACTCTGCCCCGGATTGCCCCAGGACCTCAGCTCCCACTCTTACCTTTCTAGGTAGCTTCAGACTTGTCTCTTCCTTCCTTGGAAGCCAGACCAGGTCTGGGGCTGCCTGCACCATGCTAAGTAAGGGCTTTCTTGCCTTGGCCTGCTTATCCTCACTATGAACCTGTGAGGCAGGCACTAGGTCACCATCCTGACTCTCCCTTGGGTGTCATGATTTCCTTTTTACAGATGAGAAGACCAAGGTGTGAAGGAAGTATGACTTGCTTGGAGTGTGCAATTCACGCTGGTAGGACCAGGCCTGGAATCCAAGTCATGTAGGCTCCAAGGCCTGCACTGTGAAGTCACTATGTCACATGCCTCAAATCCACACATGTTCCATCAATATGCAGCAGCTGAGTAAACAAATGAAACCCATTACCAATGGTCAGGCAAAGGCCTCTGGGTTGGTAGTTTAGGTGACCCTAGAATATTCTGAGCAAGTTTCCTAGAGTAGGTGGTATTTAGGGTCAAGTCACATGGTCTTGCTGCCTGTTTTACCTTTGAAGGCCACTCAGGAGTGTGTATGTCTGTGTATTGTGCATGTGTGCATGAAATCTACGCAAGCCTGGACACAAAAATATAACAAGAGGTTTTAAAGCAAAGGTATTCAATAGAAATCACATGTAACCCACAAACGTAAGCCATCTTTATTTATTTATTTACTGCAGTACTAGAGATTGAACCCAAGGACTTTGCATTGAGCTACATCCCCAGTTCTTTTATTTATGTTTGAGAAAGGGTCTCCCCAGCTTAAGTTGCCAAGTCTGGGCTCAAACTTTTGATCCTCCTGACTCAGCCTCCCAGAATTTTGGGATTTTATGTGAGCCACCATATCCAGTTTATAATTTAAAATTTTCTAGCAGCTGCACCTAAAAAGGGAAAATGAAACACATAAAATTAACACTAATATATAATATCTTTTCTGTAATTCACTGTATAAGAAATATTATTTCAAGATTTTTTTTAAACCCAACAATAAGCTATCTGACATGTTTTTTGTTTTTGTTTTTGTTTTTGGTGCCGGGGATCGAACTCAGGTCCTTGCACTTTCGCAGCAGGCAGTGAAACCACTGAGCCAAATCCCCAGCCCAATCTGACATGTTTTGGTACTGTCTATAAAGCCTGGTGTGTACTATAAGCGAACAATACATTTCAATTCAGATGCACCACAATTCAAGAGCTGTGGGTTGGGCATGGTGGCACATTCAGTAATTCCAGCATTCAGGAGACTGAGACAGGAGCATCACACATTCCAGGCTAGCCTGAGTAACTTAGTGAGACCCAGTCTCAAGGTGTAATTTTAAGAAGGGTAGCTCAGGGGCCGGGGATTTAGCTCAGTGGTTTCGCCGCCTGCTGCGCAAGCGCAAGGACCAGAGTTCAATACCCGGTACCAAAAAAAAAAAAAAAGAAGGGTAGCTCAGGAGTAGAGCCTTTGACTCGCATGTATAAGGCCCTGGGCTTGATTCCCATAACCCATAACCACAAAACAAAACAAAAAGCCCTAAGTGCCTGTGGCCGCCATACTGAAGCCCCAGCTCTGGTCTGGGCACAGGAGGTCAGGCTGACCATGCGGAGGGGTCTTGAGAACTCAGCCCCGGAAAGCCCACAAGCTTAGGGCTCGCTCAGCAGAGCCCGGGTCTGTAAGCAGCACGGAAGGAAATCAATGCTGTAAACTCAGGCCGTTACACACTAAGATTCAGGGAAAGCAGCGGATGGTTTCAATCTGCGGCGACAGCGACATGTGTTTGTACTTTCCTATTTACCGTAGGCCCTCGGAGGAGGCTCATAAACAGCTCAGGGAGCGCCAAGTAGCCCAGCACCACACGCAGCCGCCCCTGTGCCCCGATTCCCCCAGACCCGCAGGTTACAGAAAGCGCAGATTAAACCCAGAAGGTTTTCAGCACCGGAGCCTTGTGGGGGAGGGGGCCGGGCGTGCTCAGCAAAGAGCCAGGCTGGGAAATTGTTGCCAGATGTGTACGTGGGAGCGGGGCACAGGGGTAGGAGCCCAGGAAGAGGCCTTCTGTCCTGCCCTGTGTTGTCTGGAAATATTTCCTAAGAGAGACCCTTCAGAAACTCGAGCTTGGCCAGCAGGAGAGAGACACGCTGGAGCTGAGCCCTCCTGTGCCTGACCTGCGCACTCCCACAGGGGCCCTTGCTTAGCAGGCTGTGGGTTCCGAAGGGCCCAGCCCTTAATGTCACCCTGTGTCGCCAATTTAAAACCCTTAGGGCTGTGTGAGCCATAGGCCTGATTTGCATTTGGCACTGGGCCCCACAAACCGTGGAGCCCGGCTTGGCTTGAGCGGAGGGCACTGCAGGCAACAATAAGCCCTTCCTGCCCAGGGTCCCCACTGGGAAGGGCTGACCTTCCAGGGCTGGCCTTCCAGGGACCAGAGCAGCCCTTTGCCCTCTTCTGCAGAGTGAGGAGAGAGCATCTGGAGGAAAGGGGTGAGTAGCTAGGAGGGGCAGCCTTGGAGAACAGCGCCAGGATGTGTGTGTTTTCCAAGGTTCAAATCACAATGGTCTCTTTTCATTTAAAGAAAAATACCACAACCATTTCCTACCAAAGGTTATGTCTTTACGCTTTAAATATATATATATATATTTTTTTTTTTTTTTTTTTTTTTGACCCACCAAGGAGTGTGCTTTTTAAAGCTGGCTTCCAGCCCTTCCTGAGGCAGAGATTCCCTCCCTCGGTTCACAGCGAGAGCCCTTGTGTCTCCTCGCCCCCAGGCTCCCATGGGAGTGTCCAGTGGCCCCACAGCCCCTACCTCCAATGCTGGGCAGGAAGAGGTAAGGAGCCTGTGCCAGTGGCCATGTCCTGACTTACCCCAAGCCAGCCAATCAGGACAGGAGCTCCTGATGGCAGAAACATTACCCTCTCCCCAGCCCATGTCAAGCAAGACTTCCACCTCCTGCCTAGCCTTATGCTTCTCCAGACTTCCCCGAAGGCCAGAGCCTTGCACTAGTCCCACCTTCCTGAAACTGTCTGCCTGGACCAGGAATGAAAGAGCACAAGGTGTGACTGAAAATTACGGTGAATGTTTACATTTTTTTATGACACTAACAGACACATTGCCATTAATTCCCCTCCTAATGCTCCTAAGAACACACTTCTCCTGTCTTTCTTGCCACTTTCTGAAGCAGTTCTGGAAGTCCTCTTTTGTGAGTGTCTTTAGTTTCATCACTATCATGGCTGCCTGGATGTCCTGACTCAATTCAAAATGTCTACCTTTTGTGGTCATTTTGACTTGAGCCAGAAGTCCTGAGGTGCCATTATATAAAGGGGTGATATAGTATGTACTCTTCTGTGTCCAGTGAAGAAGGTGGACATGAGGATACACTGTCTTGTTTTTAAGAGCCTGCCTTTCTGTGGGATAGCACTGCCTCTTGCCTGCTGCACTCACTATATATTCTGATCACATCTTGTAGGTATACAGGTATGGGAGTGCTCATGGGAGGAAGCCTGAGCAGCAGGACAAGGGGGAGCCTGGGAGAGCACCCACCACCACTCCCTATCCTGTCCACTCTGCCTGGCCCCTGCAGGGACTGTCCCTAGGACCGGGCCCTCGTTCCTACCCTGCACCCCACCTCTGCACTGCTCAGGAGCAGCAATCCAGCAGCTCCTGCCTCTCCCTCCTGCACCATTCTCCCCTTTTTGATTGGACTGTTCTCACCAGCACAAACATGCCCTAATTCCTCCCACCCTAAAAAATAATAATAATAAAACCAGTAAAAGAAAAATGCTCTTGACCACTCCCCTCACCATTTCCATTTTTTTCTTTGTTCTCTCTGTCTCTCTCTGTCTCTCTCTCTCTCTCTCTCTCTCTCTCTCTCTCTCTCTCTCTCTCTCTTTCTCTCTGTTTCATTTTTACTGTGTCACAAAGTGGCTGCACCAGCTGGGCACAGCAGTGCATCCCTATAGTCCCAGCACTCGGGAGGCTGAGGCACAAGGATCGGCATGAGTTCAAGGCCAGCCTGGGCTACATAGTGAGTTCAAGGCCAGCCTGAATTACATAGCAAGACACTGTCTCAAAAAAAAAAAAAAGTAGCTGCACCATGCAACTGACATTGGAGAATGAGACAAATCTGAACAGCCATCAGGAGGCCCTGAAGGCCTTTGGCCACCACCTCTCCTTCCTTCTGCCCAGTTGTAACCAGCACCCTGCCTGCTATCACTGTCTGCTAGCATTGGGGTCTGCTTGGGGACATTATATAAATGGACTGATATGTACTGTCGTGTGTCTAGCTTCTTTATTCAGTTGTTGTTTGTGAGTTTCATCTATATTATTTAGTATGTGTACTATTTAGTGTGGTTATGTTTATTAATCTCTCTCTTTTTTTTTTTGGTACTGGGGATCGAACTCAGGACCTTGCGCTTGCAAGGCAGATGTGGTGCCACTGAGCTAAATCCCCAGCTGTTTATTAATTCTCATGGCTGAATATTCATTGAGTGTACCAATATTTAGCCATTCTGTTGATGATGAGCACTGGTATTTCTGGTGTGGGTTGTTAGAATGCTGTGAATAATGTTCTCATACACGGTTTGGGGTGTATTTCTATGGGGAATATACCTGGGAGTAGGATTACTGGGTCACACTACAGTATGCATGTGTTTAAATAGTTTTCAACTTAGCAGCAATGTGTAAGGGTTCTGGTTGCATCGCATCATTCCCAATACTTGGCATTACCATCACACACACCAGCTCTTTCCTGGGTCTCCAGTTTCTCAGCAGAACCTGTAGATTTTGGCCTTGCCACCCTCCATAACTGCACACACTTACATACATATATATGTAAATATCACTCACACATGCATACAAAGCTGCCATCCATTTTATTGTTTCTATTTCTCTGAAGAGGCTTAATATAACTGTCTTTAACAGACTAAGAAAAATCTTTTCTATTCTCAATTGTTAAGAGTTTTTTCAGCTGAGTACGGTGAAGCACACCTGTAATCCCAGCACTCTGAGAGGCTCAAGCAAGAGGATCACAACTTCAAGCCCAGCCTGGGCAACTTAGGGAGACCTTGTCTCAAAATAAAAAATAAAAGTGGTTGGGGCTGTAGCTTAATGCAAAGGCCCTGGGTTCAATCCCCAGTACTACCAAAAAAAGTTTTTAAAAATTAATCTATGTAAAATTTTACCAAATAGTATTCCTACACCAATTAAGATGATTTATGGGTTTTTGCCTTTATTCTGTAAATGTAATGAACTTAATTTATTGGTTTTCAAATGCTAAACCAAAATTTCATTTCTGTAATAAGCCAAATTTGGACATGATTTAATATCTTTTTTATATATCTCTGGATTTTGTTTGCTAATATTTTATTAGGGAATTTTGCACCTATACTCATGAGAGAAATTGGTCTCTAATTTTTCTTCCTTGTAATGATGTCCTTGTCAGATATCAAAGATGAGTCACCTTTATACACATGTTGAAAATGTTTCATCTTTTCCTATCTTTGGAAAGGATCATGTAATATTGCTGTTATTTCTCCCTCCAAAGTTTAGTAATTTTCATCAGCAAAGGCATCTGAGCCTAGAAGTGTGGTTTTTGTTTTCTCGGTAGGGAGAATATTAAGTGGGGGGTTTTTTGTTTTTGTTTCTGGTACCAGGTATCAAACTCAGGTCCTTGTGCTTGCAAGACAGGTGGCAGAACCACTGGGCTAAATACCCAGCCCCTAGGAAGAATATGAAGAATATTCAATTTCTTTAAGAGTTGTGAATATTCAGATTTTCTACTTGTCCCATATCTGTCCTCTGTTTTTTTAAGGACTTTTTCCCTTTTGTCTAAGTTTTCAAATATTGCCATAAAGTTGTTTAAAATATTCTTGTATGGGCGGGGGATTTACTTCAATGGTTCCACCGCCTGCCTCAAAAGCTCAAGGTCTTGAGTTCGATCCCCTGGCACCAAAAATAAATAAATAAATACAAAAAATCTTCTTTTATCATCCTTTTAACATTTATAGGATCTGTAGCAAAATCCACATTTCCCTTACTCATACCAATTTTATATTTTCTCTCTCTCTTTTCTTTTTTCCTGATTAATTTCACCAGAATTTGTTAATTTTCCTGGTCTCTTCACAGAGCAATCTTTGTGGACATTTTCTATTTTATTTGTTTTCTATTTCATTGAGTTATGCTCATATCTCATTGTTTCTATCATCCTACTATTTGGGAGTTTAGTTTGCTTGGGAAATTTTACCAGGTGTAGTGGTGCACATCTGTAATCCCAGCACTCAAGAGGCTAAAACAGGAGGATTGCCAAAAATTTGAGACCTGGGCTACATAGTTGAAAGCCAGCCTGAACTACATAATGACACCCAGTCTCAAAAAGAAAGAAAGAGAGAAAGAAAGAAAGAAAGAAAAGAGAGGAATAAAGAGATACCCCAACTTTCTTTGTAGTTTTTAAAATTATTTTTCTTTCAAAGTTTTGGTTCACTTATATTTAAAGCATCTTATAAGCAGGATATAATTAGATTTTGTTTTGTCATTTGCTTTAACAATTATGTATTTTAAGTGGAGTGGTAATCCTTGTGTTTATTGCAATTACTGTCATAGTGGATTTTAATCTGCCATCTTATTTGCCTTACATTTGTCCTTCTGTTCTACAATGCTATAGAGCCATGCAACCCACTGTTTGTAGAGTAATACAATTTGGTGTTTTTGTTCTAGTTTTAGTGGTTGCAGCATTTACTTTCAACCTATCAAAGTCCAATACAAATAAGTACTTCTACCACTTCCTGGATAATACAAGGACCTTAGATCTTTAAACTCTACTTATCACCATTCTGCCACACATGCCATTATTTTCAAATATTTTAACTCTCATTTTAAACCCCTCAAGACATAATTTTTGTTATATATGCAGTCAATATTCATTTGGATTTACACATTTACCTTTTCTATTGTTCTTCAATCCTTCCTTCATCTCCAGGATTGCACTTGAGTAGATTTTCCTTCTGCCTAAAGAACACCTGTTAGTATTTCTTTTGATGCAAGTCAACTGATGATGAGACTGATCAAATTGTTTCTCTAAACATGTCTTTATTTCTCCTTTTTTAAAGGATATTTTTCCTCCCACAGAATTCTAAAAGGTAGTGTCCCTCAGAGCTTTGAAGATGTCTTTTCATCTTCCTCTCAATTCCACTGTTTCACTTAAGAAGTCAGTTGTCCATATGTTGTATCTTTTTTCTCTGCTTGTTTTTCAATTATTTAAAGTTTTAACTATTTTAATAATATTTTAATTTTTAACAATTTTATTGACCTATATTTCATATACCACATAATTTGATCTCTGATTGCTCTTTTTTTTGTGGTTTTTTTGGGGTTTTTGGCTGTTTTTTTTTTTGGTACTGGGGATCGAACTCGGATCCTTCCGCTTGCAAGGCAGGTGGCGGAACAACTGAGCTAAATCCCCGGCCCTCTGACTGCTCTTAGATGCTATCTTTGTGTTTTCTTTTCAGCATGTAGTCAATCTCCCTAGAGGGACTGAGAAGAAATTGGGACAGTGGGGAGATGGGCATGCTTCTGTGACCACAGACCCAGTGTTCTTCTTCACCACGGTCAGATGAAGCCCTGAGAAGTGCCACCATATACCTGAAAAGCCCTAGGATGGAGACCACCACAACTGATGACTCTTCCCAAGGAAGGCATTGGGTCTGACCACTGAAAAGCAGGATCATAAGCCCCAGAGCTGAGTAGAGTGACATGGCAAAAGGGGATTGGGGGAAACCCCACACAAGCCATTTGCAACCAAGCACAATGGCATGGTCAGGATCTTGAAACATAAGCTTCAAGCCAAGTAGGTGGAGTCACAATATAGCACTAAAAATTCAGCACTGTGAGTGGAGCACAGTGGCTTTTATCTATGTTCAATGTTTTTTCCTGGCCCCTCAAAGAGTGTCTGGGATGTAGCAAATGATCGATAAATGTTTATTAAATTAATTGGATAGAATGAATCCTGGATTCTGCCTCAGGGGGCTCCTCCCCTAGCCCACAGGCACGTTATATGTTTTCCCAGCTAGACCTCCTCCCCATTCCCAAATAAATCTTCACAATCCTCAAATAAAATCCTCTAACTGCATGTCAGCTTCCTGGATCCTCCCGGTAACCTGCTTCCCAGCCCTTACAATACACTCTAAGAGAGAATTCTGCACCCTCCACTTTCCCCCATCCTGGCCTTCATCTGAGGATGTTGCATGACCAATGGGACAGGTGTACAATCATGAACAGCCATACAGTAATTGGTGCAGAAAATTGTAAAAAGAAGAAAACTGTTGAATGGAATATTCACCTCAGAAGTCATTCCTTGCTATCAAAATCCGAGGCTGCCAGTAGAGCTGCACCTACCCCACCAGAGGCGAAGAGAAGGCCTTCAGTGTACCAGGCATACTCAGCAAACTGTCCACCAGTGGAAGAGCTCTGCTCCCTGTGCTTCCAGTCTCTAGCTAAGCCTGGGTTGCAGCAAACAGCAAAGAAATAGAGCTGTGAAAAAGACATGCCCGCTGAACACTGCATTCCAAAATTTAACCGTAGGACACTGCCAACAGAGGTTCTGAAAGTTCCTACCCTGAGTGTCACCAGAAGAAAGGGCACAGCTGACATGAAACCACATGGGACTCAGAAGGGCTTAGAACAAGGGGAGGGTCAGAAAAATGGGAGTACTTGGACATGGCTAGAACTCTGAGCTATAATATGGACTGAAATGTTTCTTAATCCCTTGACGTGGAGAGATATACACCTCATGGATTTCTATGAAAATGTTTGAGGCTATCTGTCAAGAGAAAGATCACTTTTTGAGATAGGGTAGATTCTACTCAAATACTTTCTGCTGCCATTGCTGTATTTTCAGTACAAAGACAACTTCTCCAGACATGGCCAAGAGGACACAGTTGAACCAGTGGGCCATCTGTCTCAAATGAAGACCCTGGTCCACAATTCCCACCGAGTTGCCCAGGGAAGAACCAGGCTTCTCCCTTCTGGAATGGCCTGGGTGTGCCTCCTGACATGCGCTCTATGACTTGTTCCTCTCCCCAACTGGTCCCTCTCTGTTTCTACAAAGAGACACACCCTGAAAACTCATCTGTTGATCATTAGAACAGAAAAAAGAGACTCACGAGATTCTGAATTCCATTTCTTGATGGCCAGAAAGGTGCCAGCTGGAAAGAGTAACTGTTTTTGGTGAATGACAGCTTACATTTCCCTGGGCATGACTAGGGTGGCTCCCAGCAATGGTGCCCTGGCCAGACAGAGCCAAGCTCCTTTCCTCCCCCGCCCATCTCCCAAGGAAAATCAGAGCCCTACCCATCAGAGGACAGGCAGTCATGGCCTCTGCCCATTGCAGCCAACTGAACATACGACAAAAGACCACCCAGGCCTCTCCTGGTGGCCCTCGAAGGGTGTCTGGACTCTGGACAGCCTCTGCTGAACACAGCCCCCAGCAACACCTCCTCTACTGGGCCCCACAGAGCAGAAGGGTGGTGGAAGGGAAGCAGAAATGGCCTTTGGGGTTTTCTGTATCTGCTTTGATGTTTTTGTTTGTTTGTGTGGAAGAAAATACTGAGTCTTAATCTCAAGGGAGGCAGGGAGGAGAGGACTGCAGGCTATTTCTGTGAAAAGTGTAGGTAGAGCCCGCCTCTCCCTTCCCGGAAGGGGGTCTCGTGGATGCCTTTTGCAGTTTGCCACTATTCAATCACATTTGCTCACTTTTGATCCTCAAGATAACCCTTACTGGTGAAGTGGAAAGAGATTTATCTTAGTACCATAACCTGTGGAGCTTAAACAACAATTCTGTCTCCAGAGTTCTGGAGGTGGAGTGTGAGATCAGGATGCCAGGCCCTGGTGAGGCTCTCTTTTGGGCTGCCAGCTGACTGATCTGCTTGCACACTCACATGGAGAGTGCTCTCTGTGTCTTCCCACAAGGGTACTAATCCTATCCACGAGGGCTCCAACCTCATGACCTAATTACCTCCCAAAGGCCACCTTCTAATACCAGCCCCTTGGGGTCAGAATCTCAATGAATGAATTTGGGGACTTAGTAAGATTACTGCACTCATTTTACCAGTTGGGAAACTGAGGCTCTGAACGGTTAACTAACATAAGAGGGAGTGAAAAGAAGAGGACTCTAAGGCAGCCATCTTATTGCACGGCTCCAGCCCTTCTCACCACTTTCAAGGACTTCTGTGGGCTATGCCCTTTCCATATCCCTGTATCCAGCTGAGTCACTGCAGGCTATATCACAGAAAAGACCTCACTTATTGTGAAAGGATTCCAGTCCCTGTCCCAGCTCTACCAACAGAGCTGTGTGACCTCAGACATTCTTGATCTCTCTGGGCCTCAGTTTCTTCATTTGCAAGTGGTGAATAATGGTCCACATTGCCTGCCTCTATCGACTGATGGAAAGCTCAATTAAGGTACCAGATGTGAAATGGCTTTGTAGATTCTAACCCACTCCACCCATACAGGGCTGACCAGTGTTACTGTCACGATGGTAGTGGGAGAAAGACTCCCTGACCCAAGTTCTCTCCCTTTCCTCCCAGCCATTAGCAATTTGGTTTCCTTTGAGTCTTTCTCTTTATTAAAAGGCAGATCCTCCTGTGCCAGAACACACCTCTAAGCATTCTCAATTGTAAGTTCCTCAAAATAGATGAGTTTACTGGCCATCCAGGGGTCAGGAAGGGATGTGGCAAGGGGTGTCTGAGAGTCAGCCTTAATAGAAACTATGTGATGTTCCCCACAAAAGATGAGCGCAAATTGAGCCTCCCAGGCTGGGAGCCTCCCTGTCAGCTCTGAGCTGTGAGGGGTCTGAGAAGGGGCCAACCCAGAACAAGGAAGGGAGATCCTTTTCCATGACACCTACCCATACTTCTGCACCACATGCTGATCCCCAGGTCTCAGCTGGTACAGAAAATGCTCCAGGGACCAGGACCTCCTCCCTGACTACCCAACCCAATAAGCACATCTGTGACCATTAGGCCTGTTATGTCAACTTCATTAGATTAAAAAAAGCCTCACAGATTAGTAGAGCACTCTCCTGAGTGCACCTGGGTGGGGGATGGAGGTATGGGCTTGGGTATTACATACACTCCCTGGCCTCTTCCTCTCTGGCACTGTTCCCCAGCTGCCATGAACTGAGCAGCTTTGTTCCGCCATACCCTTCCACCATGATGGTTTCTGTCTTGAAGCCAGCTGACCATGGACTGAATCCCCCAAACCATGAGCTAAATTAACCCTCTCCTCTAAATTTGGAATGTTGGGTATTGTGTCATAGCAGCCAGAAAGCTGACTAATATGACATCACATGGGGCCAGGCAGCATGTGACCACAGGGATCTGGATGGGAGGAAGAGAACAGCCCACCCCCTGCATGTCCCCTGGCTGCCTTACCAACTCCTAGTTGCACAGCTACATGGCACCCTATGCCCATCTGGGCTGCAGCCTTTGCTGCTGCAGCTAGAGTGGAAGTGGGCAGTATGTGGCTGGGCTGCTGGAAACAAAGCAGTAGTGGGCAGAGTTGATCTGCTCCTTGCCCACTGCCTGTCATTCTGTGCCCCCTCCTCACCTCTGAGACTCTGTCCCCTGGCTCTTGTCACAAGCTGTTCATAATACCAAGGTCTTCGTGGCTCACATGGGGCCTTCCCAGGAGGGACCTGGGCTTTTTAGTGGCAGAACTGGAGGCACCTGGGCAGTGAGCAGGGATGGGGTTGTGGGGCCCCAAAGTGATGGGAGGGCGCCTGCCCACTCAATCCACGTCCCACTGAGTTTACTGGCCACTTGCACCTGCTACAGAGTCAGCCCAGGCCCACAGCCCCAGGACCCCAGAACTCAGACCTCTGTAGCCTATAAATTAACCAAACGTGGCTGAAGGAGCAATGTGTGCATGGGTGTGTGGTCCTGAGCCCCTCACTCTCCCACAGCTCTCTGGCTAGGCGCCCTCCTGGAGCCTGGCTGCCCACGATTCTCCCAGCAAGGCCCATCTGAACCACTGGCTCAGGAAACATAAAAGAGAGCAAGTGTGAGGAGAATATTTTACAGCTCTTTAATAACCGCTCTTGCTCATTGTGTTTATTCTGTTCGAAGCAGGTTATAAAAATGCTGTGCAATTAAAGAAAAAAGAAACAGGAAAGGCTTTTGAAAACAGCTTTGAGGTGAGGAACACGTTGATTCTACAAGCTGGAGGCCAACTCCTCCTCTGTGGCACAGGGAGTCCCAGGTGTCCAGCTGCTTTCCCTGGGGACAGGGTGTCGCCAGCAGCCCCAGCTCCTGTACCTGCCTGCTCAGGCAAGGGCCATACTCACTGAGCTGTTCTCACCTGGTCTGGGCCACCAGGCCACCTCAGCCAGGTGGGGGCAGGGTGCCCGATGGCCTTCCAGGGACACCAAGGGGAGGTGGCGTCTGCCCCACCCCATGACATGGCCACGGTGTGACTGGCCTTGGTCCACAGCATATGAGAGAGCACAGTGCATATGACGCTTTATCAAAAGATAGGGTGTTCAAATTGTAAAAATTTATTACAGTAAAAAGCAATTGTCATTAATCCCACTCAAAACTCCCCCCTTGCTTTGAGCACACTTACCCATCATTCTTGCCACCTTCTGAAGCAGCTCTGGAAGTCCTCTTTCCTGAGTGCCTTTAGTTGCACTGTGGTGGCTGCCTGGATGTCCTGAATCGATTCAAAACATTTCCCTTTCATGGTCATTTTGACTTTGGAGAAGAGCTAGAAGCCCTACAGTGCCAGACAAAGTAAATAAGGGGGTGAGGACCCGGTGCCATGATTTTATTCAACAGGAATTGCCACAGATGTTTGATCAACACAGGATGACCATAAAAATATGGTGCATTCAGTTAAAAAATGTATTACAGTAAAAGACCCATTGCCATTAAACCCCTCAAAATCCCACCCCCTCCCCAAACACACTTATCCCATTATTCGGGGCACTGTATCTTTCACTGTAACAAGTTTTTAAAAGTGTAAACATTCACCAGTTTTCAGTCGCGCCTTGGTGCCAGGTCCCAGTGGACACAGCCCGCGTGCTGAGGTGGGCATGGTCTGGGCGGGGCAGAGCGTGCCTTCCTGGCCTGAGAACAGAGTCGCTACACCTGCACAGGCGGGCCCGTGCGCTCCCACGGCCTCGCCTAGGCGCTCACGCATGCGCGCCTGTCCTCCTTCCTCTTCCGGTCTCCACACCAGCGCCCCAGTGCCTTGGCTGGAGCCCATGCTCAGAGATTGCTGTTTGGCCTTCTTTACCACGTGCGGGGGGCTTACCTCCCCATAGGTCCCCTCAAGGTTGGCTGTGATCCACACCAAACTCTTCTTTAACCTACGGAGCCCATCCCTTTCCACACAGCCTGCTTTCTAGACTCCTACCTCAGTAAAGACGTGGAGCGTCAGCGTGAGCCGAGACAACACTCTCCCTGGCGGTGTTTTGAGGCTCCGCTGGGTGGAAGGC